TTTACTTAGGGCCACAGAATTGTTACTCGCACAGACACAGAATTGTTACTCGCAGACACAGAATTGTTACTGAAGGCCACAGAACTGTTACTTAGGGCCACAGAGAATTGTTACTCGCACAGACACAGAATTGTTACTCGCACAGACACAGAACTTGTTACTGAGGGCCACAGAACTGTTACTTAGGGACACAGAAACTTTAGTTAGGGCCACAGAATTGTTACTCAGGGACAGACAGAATTGTTACTGAGTGCCAGAGAATTGTTACTCAGGGACAGACAGAATTGTTACTGAGTGCCAGAGAATTGTTACTTAGGGCCACAGAAACTTTAATTAGGGCCACAGAATTTTTACTCAGGGACAGACAGAATTGTTACTGAGTGCCAGAGAATTGTTACTCAGGGACAGACAGAATTGTTACTGAGTGCCAGAGAATTGTTACTCAGGGCCACAGAAACTTTACTTAGGGCCACAGAGAATTTTTACTCAGGGACAGACAGAATTGTTACTGAGTGCCAGAGAATTGTTACTCAGGGACAGACAGAATTGTTACTGAGTGCCAGAGAATTGTTACTTAGGGCCACAGAAATTTACTTAGGGGCCACAGAATTGTTACTCGCAAGACACAGAATTGTTACTCGCACAGACACAGAATTGTTACTGAGGGCCACAGAACTTTACTTAGGGACACAGAATTGTTACTCGCACAGACACAGAATTGTTACTCAGCACAGACACAGAATGTTACTGAGGGCCACAGAATGTTACTCAGGGACAGACAGAAACGCTGTTACTTAGGGCCAGAGAATTTTTTACTCAGGGACAGACAGAATTGTTACTGAGTGCCAGAGAATTGTTACTCAGGGACAGACAGAATTGTTACGGAGTGCCAGAGAAATTGTTACTCAGGGACAGACAGAATTGTTACTGAGTGCCAGAGAATTGTTACTTAGGGCCACAGAAACTTGTTACTTAGGGCCACAGAATTGTTACTCAGGGACAGACAGAATTGTTACTGAGTGCCAGAGAATTTTACTCAGGGACAGACAGAATTGTTACTGAGTGCCAGAGAATTGTTACTCAGGGACAGACAGAATTGTTACTGAGTGCCAGAGAATTGTTACTTAGGGCCACAGAAAATTTTACTCAGGGATTAGGGCCACAGAATTTTTACTCAGGGACAGACAGAATTGTTACTGAGTGCCAGAGAATTGTTACTCAGGGACAGACAGAATTGTTACTGAGTGCCAGAGAATTGTTACTCAGGGACAGACAGAAATTGTTACTGAGTGCCAGAGAATTGTTACTCAGGGCCACAGAAACTTTACTGAGGCCACAGAATTTTTACTCAGGGACAGACAGAATTGTTACTGAGTGCCAGAGAAATTGTTACTCAGGGACAGACAGAATTGTTACTGAGTGCCAGAGAATTGTTACTTAGGGCCACAGAAAATTTTACTTAGGCCACAGAATTTTACTCAGGGACAGACAGAATTGTTACTGAGTGCCAGAGAATTGTTACTCAGGGACAGACAGAATTGTTACTGAGTGCCAGAGAATTGTTACTCAGGGACAGACAGACAGAATTGTTACGGAGTGCCAGAGAATTGTTACTCAGGGCCACAGAAACTTTACTTAGGGCCAGAGAATTTTTTACTCAGGGGGGACAGACAGAATTGTTACTGAGTGCCAGAGAATTGTTACTCAGGGACAGACAGAATTGTTACTGGAGTGCCAGAGAATTGTTACTCAGGGCCCCAGAAACTTTACTTAGGGCCACAGAATTTTTACTCAGGGACAGACAGAATTGTTACTGAGTGCCAGAGAATTGTTACTCAGGGACAGACAGAATTGTTACTGAGTGCCAGAGAATTGTTACTTAGGGCCACAGAAACTTTACTTAGGGCCACAGAATTGTTTCTCGCACAGACACAGAATTGTTACTCGCACAGACACAGAATTGTTACTGAGGGCCACAGAACTGTTACTTGGGGCCACAGAGAAACGTTAATCAGGGACACAGAATTGTTACTGAGGGCCACAGAACTGTTACTTAGGGCCACAGAATTGTTACTCGCACAGACACAGAATTGTTACTCAGGGACACAGAATTGTTACTCAGGGACACATAATCGTTTAATTAAAGAGTATGTCAGACAACATGCAGAGGAGTGGCAGAGGAGGCAATGTTTTAGGAGCGAGCAGACGTGGCAGCAGAGGAAGGGGTCGAGGCAGCACTATTCGCAGCCAGAGGCCAGTGCTCCCGGTGTCATCCAGCGGTCGTGTCTCCACCGACAACCCTGCCGTCGTCGATTGGTTGGCTCGGTCATCTTCCTCTTCCCAGGTCACCTCTGACACCTACAGCCAACGGTCGGTGGGTACGTCAGACAAACCGTTAGTTGGCATGGCCCGGGACCAAGCCCACTGAAATCACGTGTCCTCTACCTGCCCCTGTCCTTTGGTGTTCCCTCACCAAGCGAAGTATCGCATGCTGTGGGCTCAGCCCCACTGTACAGTGAGGAAGAGCTAACAGAGGGCGGTCAGGAACGGGGGGAGACATCCGCCTTTTAGCAGCCAGGCGAAGAAGTAGTGGCGAGGAGAGTGGCTCGGTAGCCGGTCTAGAGACAGGTCTGTCTCCTGACCCAGACGCAGCCCGAGGGGGGCTAGTAGTGAGGCGGAGACCCTACTTGATGATGAGGAGGTTGATCGCACTTGGCAGCCTCGTCGTCATCAGGCAATTTCTTCCGCATCATCAGGAGAAGAGAGGGTGGCAGCTTGGCAGCGAGCAAAACAGTCGGTGGGTTGCCCAGGAGACAGCAGCAGGGTCGCAGCAGTGTCAGTGGAGCCAGTGGAGCCAAACGGCCACGGAGTAGTAAGCACCAGCTCCACTGCAGCCTACCACCACGGCCAGTAGTGGTGCCGGTGTGCACGGAGGAAGCAGCAGTCAGCCAGTGAGGAGTATCGGGGGCAAAGTTTCCTACTCGGCGGTGTGGCAATTTTTCGTCAAGCCGCCCGAGGAAGTAAACGTAGCCGTATGTCGACTATGTGGCAGAAAGTCAAGCGTGGCCAGGGGGCCCATGTTGGGACTATTTGGGCCATGTTGGGACAATGGGAGACCTCCCATTGCTGCTGTCTCCATCGCCACACTCTGCCATGTGCCACTTTCAGGTCTCCTCACACACTGCTGGTGTGTTGAATTTTTTTGACATAGGGTGCTGGCAGATTACGGGCCTCCCATAGCTGCTGCCAGGCCCCTAATCTGCCATAGGCCCCTATATACCGCCTCCTCATGCTGCTGCCAGGTCCAGAGTCTGTCATGGGTCCCTGTACGGCCTCCCATTGCTGCTGTCTCCATCGCCACACTCTGCCATGTGCCACTTTCAGGTCTCCTCACACACTGCTGGTGTGTTGAATTTTTTGACATAGGGTGCTGGCAGATTACGGGCCTCCCATAGCTGCTGCCAGGCCCCTAATCTGCCATAGGCCCCTATATACCGCCTCCTCATGCTGCTGCCAGGTCCAGAGTCTGTCATGGGTCCCTGTACGGCCTCCCATTGCTGCTGTCTCCATCGCCACACTCTGCCATGTGCCACTTTCAGGTCTCCTCACACACTGCTGGTGTGTTGAATTTTTTGACATATAGGGTGCTGGCAGATTACGGGCCTCCCATAGCTGCTGCCAGGCCCCTAATCTGCCATGGGCCCCTATATACCGCCTCCTCATGCTGCTGCTGCCAGAGTCTCTCATGGGTCCCTGTACGGCCTCCCATTGCTGCTGTCTCATCGCCACACTGCCATGCCACTTTCAGGTCTCCTCACACACTGCTGGTGTGTTGAATTTTTTGACATAGGGTGCTGGCAGATTACGGGCCTCCCATAGCTGCTGCCAGGCCCCTAATCTGCCATAGGCCCCTATATACCGCCTCCTCATGCTGCTGCCAGGTCCAGAGTCTGTCATGGGTCCCTGTACGGCCTCCCATTGCTGCTGTCTCCATCGCCACACTCTGCCATGTGCCACTTTCAGGTCTCCTCACTGCTGGTGTGTTGAATTTTTTTTTGACATAGGGTGCTGGCAGATTACGGGCCTCCCATAGCTGCTGCCAGGCCCCTAATCTGCCATGGGCCCCTATATACCGCCTCCTCATGCTGCTGCCAGGTCCAGAGTCTCTCATCATGGGTCCCTGTACGGCCTCCCATTGCTGCTGTCTCCATCGCGCCACACTCTGCCATGTGCCACTTTCAGGTCTCCTCACACACTGCTGGTGTGTTGTAGAATTTTTTGACATAGGGTGCTGGCAGCAGATTACGGGCCTCCCATAGCTGCTGCCAGGCCCCTAATCTGCCATAGGCCCCTATATACCGCCTCCTCATGCTGCTGCCAGTCCAGAGTCTGTCATGGGTCCCTGTACGGCCTCCCATTGCTGCTGTCTCCATCGCCACACTCTGCCATGCCAGCCACTTTCAGGTCTCCTCACACACTGCTGCTGGTGTGTTGAATTTTTTGACATAGGGTGCTGGCAGATTACGGGCCTCCCATAGCTGCTGCCAGGCCCCTAATCTCATAGGCCCCTATATACCGCTCCTCATGCTGCTGCCAGGTCCAGAGTCTCTCATGGGTCCCTGTACGGCCTCCCATTGCTGCTGTCTCCATCGCCACCACACTCTGCCATGTGCCACTTTCAGGTCTCTCACACACTGCTGGTGTGTTGAATTTTTTTTGACATAGGGTGCTGGCAGATTACGGGCCTCCCATAGCTGCTGCCAGGCCCCTAATCTGCCATGGGCCCCTATATACCGCCTCCTCATGCTGCTGCCAGGTCCAGAGTCTGTCATGGGTCCCTGTACGGCCTCCTCCCATTGCTGCTGTCTCCATCGCCACACTCTGCCATGTGCCACTTTCAGGTCTCCTCACACTGCTGCTGGTGTGTGTTGAATTTTTTGACATAGGGTGCTGGCAGATTACGGGCCTCCCATAGCTGCTGCCAGGCCCCTAATCTGCCCATGGGCCCCTATATACCGCCTCCTCATGCTGCTGCCAGGTCCAGAGTCTCTCATGGGTCCCTGTACGGCCTCCCATTGCTGCTGTCTCCATCGCCACACTCTGCATGTGCCACTTTCAGGTCTCCTCACACACTGCTGGTGTGTTGAATTTTTTGACATAGGGTGCTGGCAGATTACGGGCCTCCCATAGCTGCTGCCAGGCCCCTAATCTGCCATAGGCCCCTATATACCGCCTCCTCATGCTGCTGCCAGGTCCAGAGTCTCTCATGGGTCCCTGTACGGCCTCCCATTGCTGCTGTCTCCATCGCCACACTCTGCCATGTGCCACTTTCAGGTCTCCTCACACTGCTGGTGTGTGTGTGAATTTTTTTTTGACATAGGGTGCTGGCAGATTATACGGGCCTCCCATAGCTGCTGCCAGGCCCCTAATCTGCCATAGGCCCCTATATACCGCCTCCTCATGCTGCTGCCAGGTCCAGAGTCTCTCATGGGGTCCCTGTACGGCCTCCCATTGCTGCTGTCTCCATCGCCACACTCTGCCATGTGCCACTTTCAGGTCTCCTCACACACTGGTGGTGTGTTGAATTTTTGACATAGGGTGCTGGCAGATTACGGGGGCCTCCCATAGCTGCTGCCAGGCCCCTAATCTGCCATGGGCCCCTATATACCGCCTCCTCATGCTGCTGCCAGGTCCAGAGTCTCTCATGGGTCCCTGTACGGCCTCCCATTGCTGCTGTCTCCATCGCCACACTCTGCCATGTGCCACTTTCAGGTCTCCTCACACACTGCTGGTGTGTTGAATTTTTTGACAGGGTGCTGGCAGATTACGGGCCTCCCATAGCTGCTGCCAGGCCCCTAATCTGCCATAGGCCCCTATATACCGCCTCCTCATGCTGCTGCCAGGTCCAGAGTCTGTCATGGGTCCCTGTACGGCCTCCCATTGCTGCTGTCTCCATCGCCACACTCTGCCATGTGCCACTTTCAGGTCTCTTTCAGGTCTCACACACACTGCTGCTGGTGTGTTGAATTTTTTTGACATAGGGTGCTGGCAGATTACGGGCCTCCCATAGCTGCTGCCAGGCCCCTAATCTGCCATGCCCCTATATACCGCCTCCTCCTCATGCTGCTGCCAGGTCCAGAGTCTGTCATGGGTCCCTGTACGGCCTCCCATTGCTGCTGTCTCCATCGCCACACTCTGCCATGTGCCACTTTCAGGTCTCCTCACACTGCTGGTGTGTTGAATTTTTTGACATAGGGTGCTGGCAGATTACGGGCCTCCCATAGCTGCTGCCAGGCCCCTAATCTGCCATAGGCCCCTATATACCGCCTCCTCATGCTGCTGCCAGGTCCAGAGTCTGTCATGGGTCCCTGTACGGCCTCCCATTGCTGCTGTCTCCATCGCCACACTCTGCCATGTGCCACTTTCAGGTCTCCTCACACACTGCTGGTGTGTAGAATTTTTTGACATAGGGTGCTGGCAGATTACGGGCCCTCCCATAGCTGCTGCCAGGCCCCTAATCTGCCATGGGCCCCTATATACCGCCTCCTCATGCTGCTGCTGGGTCCAGGTCCCCAGAGTCTCTCATGCCATGTGTGCCACTTTCAGGTCTCCTCACACTGCTGGTGTGTTCCATTTTTTGACATAGGGTGAGGGTGCTGGCAGATTACGGGCCTCCCATAGCTGCTGCCAGGCCCCTAATCTGCCATGGGCCCCTATATACCGCCTCCTCATGCTGCTGCCAGGTCCAGAGTCTGTCATGGGTCCCTGTACGGCCTCCCATTGCTGCTGTCTCCATCGCCACACTCTGCCATGTGCCACTTTCAGGTCTCCCTCACACACTGCTGGTGTGTTGAATTTTTTGACATAGGGTGCTGGCAGATTATGGGCCTCCCATAGCTGCTGCCAGGCCCCTAATCTGCCATGGGCCCCTATATACGCTTCTCCTCATGCTGCTGCTGGTCCAGAGTCTCTCAGGGTCCCTGTACGGCAGAGTCTCTCATGCCATGTGCCACTTTCAGGTCTCCTCACACTGCTGGTGTGTAGAATTTTTTTGACATAGGGTGCTGGCAGATTACGGGCCTCCCATATAGCTGCTGCCAGGCCCCTAATCTGCCATGGCCCCTATATACCGCTCCTCATGCTGGGCATGCTGCTGCCAGTCCAGAGTCTGTCATGGGTCCCTGTACGGCCTCCCATTGCTGCTGTCTCCATCGCCACACTCTGCCATGTGCCACTTTCAGGTCTCCTCACACACTGCTGGTGTGTGTTTAATTTTTTGACATAGGGTGCTGGCAGATTACGGGCCTCCCATAGCTGCTGCCAGGCCCCTAATCTGCCATAGGCCCCCTATATACCGCCTCCTCATGCTGCTGCCAGGTCCAGAGTCTCTCATGGGTCCCTGTACGGCCTCCCATTGCTGCTGTCTCCATCGCCACACTCTGCCATGTGCCACTTTCAGGTCTCCTCACACTGCTGGTGTGTTTGAATTTTTTTGACATAGGGTGCTGGCAGATTACGGGCCTCCCATAGCTGCTGCCAGGCCCCTAATCTGCCATAGGCCCCTATATATACCGCCTCCTCATGCTGCTGCCAGGTCCAGAGTCTCTCATGGGTCCCTGTACGGGCCTCCCATTGCTGCTGTCTCCATCGCCACACTCTGCCATGTGCCACTTTCAGGTCTCTCACACACTGCTGGTGTGTAGAATTTTTTGACATAGGGTGCTGGCAGATTACGGGCCTCCCATAGCTGCTGCCAGGCCCCTAATCTCTGCCATATGGGCCCCTATATACCGCCTCCTCATGCTGCTGCCAGGTCCAGAGTCTGTCATGGGTCCCTGTACGGCCTCCCATTGCTGCTGTCTCCATCGCCACACTCTGCCATGTGCCACTTTCAGGTCTCCTCACACACTGCTGGTGTGTTGAATTTTTTGACATAGGGTGCTGGCAGATTACGGGCCTCCCATAGCTGCTGCCAGGCCCCTAATCTGCCATAGGCCCCTATATACCGCCTCCTCATGCTGCTGCCAAGTCCAGAGTCTGTCATGGGTCCCTGTACGGCCTCCCATTGCTGCTGTCTCCATCGCCACACTCTGCCATGTGCCACTTTCAGGTCTCCTCACACACTGCTGGTGTGTTGAATTTTTTGACATAGGGTGCTGGCAGATTACGGGCCTCCCATAGCTGCTGCCAGGCCCCTAATCTGCCATAGGCCCCTATATACCGCCTCCTCATGCTGCTGCCAGGTCCAGAGTCTGTCATGGGTCCCTGTACGGCCTCCCATTGCTGCTGTCTCCATCGCCACACTCTGCCATGTGCCACTTTCAGGTCTCCTCACACACTGCTGGTGTGTTGAATTTTTTTGACATAGGGTGCTGGCAGATTACGGGCCTCCCATAGCTGCTGCCAGGCCCCTAATCTGCCATAGGGCCCCTATATACCGCCTCCTCATGCTGCTGCCAAGTCCAGAGTCTGTCATGGGTCCCTGTACGGCCTCCCATTGCTGCTGTCTCCATCGCCACACTCTGCCATGTGCCACTTTCAGGTCTCCTCACACACTGCTGGTGTGTTGTTAGATTTTTTGACATAGGGTGCTGGCAGATTACGGGGCCTCCCATAGCTGCTGCCAGGCCCCTAATCTGCCATAGGCCCCTATATACCGCCTCCTCATGCTGCTGCCAGGTCCAGAGTCTGTCATGGGTCCCTGTACGGCCTCCCATTGCTGCTGTCTCCATCGCCACACTCTGCCATGTGCCACTTTCAGGTCTCCTCACACACTGCTGGTGTGTTGAATTTTTTGACATAGGGTGCTGGCAGATTACGGGCCTCCCATAGCTGCTGCCAGGCCCCTAATAATCTGCCATAGGCCCCTATATACCGCCTCCTCATGCTGCTGCCAGGTCCAGAGTCTCTCATGGGGTCCCTGTACGGCCTCCCATTGCTGCTGTCTCCATCGCCACACTCTGCCATGTGCCACTTTCAGGTCTCCTCACACACTGCTGGTGTGTTGAATTTTTTGACATAGGGTGCTGGCAGATTACGGGCCTCCCATATAGCTGCTGCCAGGCCAGGCCTAATCTGCCATAGGCCCCTATATACCGCTTCCTCATGCTGCTGCCAGGTCCAGAGTCTCTCATGGGTCCCTGTACGGCCTCCCATTGCTGCTGTCTCCATCGCCACACTCTGCCATGTGCCACTTTCAGGTCTCCTCACACTGCTGCTGTGTGTAGAATTTTTTGACATAGGGTGCTGGCAGATTAAGGGCCTCCCATAGCTGCTGCCAGGCCCCTAATCTGCCATGGGCCCCTATATACCGCCTCCTCATGCTGCTGCCAGGTCCAGAGTCTGTCATGGGTCCCTGTACGGCCTCCCATTGCTGCTGTCTCCATCGCCACACTCTGCCATGTGCCACTTTCAGGTCTCCTCACACTGCTGGTGTGTTGAATTTTTTGACATAGGGTGCTGGCAGATTATGGGCCTCCTATAGCTGCTGCCAGGCCCCTAATCTGCCATAGGCCCCTATATACCGCCTCCTCATGCTGCTGCCAGGTCCAGAGTCTCTCATGCCATGTGCCACTTTCAGGTCTCCTCACACTGCTGGTGTGTAGAATTTTTTTGACATAGGGTGCTGGCAGATTATGGGCCTCCTATAGCTGCTGCCAGGCCCCTAATCTGCCATAGGCCCCTATATACCGCCTCCTCATGCTGCTGCCAGGTCCAGAGTCTGTCTCATGGGTCCCTGTACGGCCTCCCATTGCTGCTGTCTCCATCGCCACACTCTGCCATGTGCCACTTTCAGGTCTCCTCACACACTGCTGGTGTGTTGAATTTTTTTGACATAGGGTGCTGGCAGATTACGGGCCTCCCATAGCTGCTGCCAGGCCCCTAATCTGCCATGGGCCCCTATACCGACTCCTCATGCTGTGACGTTGCAACAAGGTGGAATTCAACCCTACATATGTTAGACCGCCCCATTTACGAACAGCTGGCCATCACAGATTTCCTGATGTTAAAAGCGGATAAAGGTATTCCCTGTGTAACTTAGATGTCAGCCATTGGCAGCTCATGCGTGACACCTGCGCTGCTCAGGCCCTTTGAGGAGGCCACGCTATTCGTGAGTCGGCAGGACTATGGGATGAACGACGTCATTCCTCTGTTGCACGTCCTGGAACAAATGCTGTTAACAATGGCTGGTCAGGGTGCGGTAGACGTGGCGCACAGATCTCAACGCCACTGACCCCCCTGTGGGGGCAGGACAGGAAGAAGAGGAGGAGGTAGAGGAGGACATTGGTGCTCAGGAATTATTGAGTGAAATGGGTGGTTTTTTCCACTCAGCGGACAGGAGTGGAGGAGCAGGAGCATCTGGTAGAGGAGGAGGAGGAGGAGACAGAGGACCCAGACGCACCGTGGCAGTATGCTGTGGAGATGGAGGCAGGGAGTCCCTCGCATTCCTTGGCACAAATGGCCCATAGCATGCTCGGTTGCTTGCGTAGCGACAGCCGAATAATAACCATCAGACAGAGGGATGACTTTTGGCTGTCCACCTTGTTGGACCCTCGCTACCGTTCAAAAATGGTGGCCTTTTTCACACCTGCTGAGAGGGAGGCCAAAATAACGTACTATAAAAACCACCTATGTAGTCAGCTGGTCTCTGCCTGTCTGCGCCAACGTCCATCCTCAGACACTGTGGGCCCTGTGCGCTCGCGTTCCGCTGCCATGGCAGCAGGGGAGGGGTGGGGGTGGTAGGAGCAGTGGCAGCTCCACCAGCAGCGGCTGCCTCAGTCTGCAGTCGATGATGAGTAGCTTTCTTCACCAGCGCAGTGAGGAAACTACTACTAACCAGCCGCAGCAGCAGCAGCAGCAGCAGCAGCATCAGGTGGACCTGGAGCAGGACCTCAAACAACAGGCTTAGGCCTACTTGGACAGCACCCTGCCAACCGAGGTAGACAATCCCCTTGACTACTGGGCAACGAAACTTGACCTTTGGCCCCAACTAGCTGAATTTGCCCTTTGAAAGGCTGTCATGCCCGGCCAGTAGCGTGGCATCGGAGCGCGTGTTTTTGAGTGCGGCAGGAGGTATTGCAACTCCGCGGAGGACACGACTGTCCACCCAAAGTGTGGAGAGACTGACGTTTGTGAAAATGAATCAGGCGTGGATTAGTCTGGATTTCAAACCACCAGTTCCTGACACAACTGACTAAATCTGCCATGAATCATGCCCCAAACATGTGCCACTTTCAGGTCTCCTCACACTGCTGGTGTGTTCCATTTTTTGTCATAGGGTGCTGGCAGATTACGGGCCTCCCATAGCTGCTGCCAGGCCCCTAATCTGCCATGGGCCCCTATACCGCCTCCTCATGCTGCTGCCAAGTCCAGAGTCTCTCATGGGTCCCTGTACGGCCTCCCATTGCTGCTGTCTCCATCGCCACACTCTGCCATGTGCCACTTTCAGGTCTCCTCACACTGCTGGTGGTGGGTTCCATTTTTTGTCATAGGGTGCTGGCAGATTACGGGCCTCCTATAGCTGCTGCCAGGCCCCTAATCTGCCATGGGCCCCCGTACCGACTCCTCATGCTGCTGCCAGGCCCGTAATCTGTCATGGGCCCCTGTTGTCGTCGCTTGTTGGCATATTCCGCTCGTTCAGATGCTCCTTCTCCTGCTACTCCTCTTCACGGATTCCCGTCAGCAGTCTTTCTTGGAATCCGTTTCCAAGAGACAACAGTTTGCGAGCACGCACCAGACGGTGCAGAAACTGAACGTCCTCCTGTCCAAGTTGCTGCTGCCAGGCTCATAATCTGTCATGCGCCCCCTGTACCGCCTCCTCATGCTGCTGCCAGGTCCAGAGTGTGTCATGGGCCCCCGTACCGACTCCAAATGCTGCTGCCAGGCCCGTAATCTGTCATGGGCCCCCCCTGTACCGCCTCCCCATGCTGCTGCCAGGTCCAGATTGTGTCATGGGTCCCTGTACGGCCTCCCATTGCTGCTGCCAGGCCCGTAATCTGCCATGGGCCCCCCGTACCGACTCCTCATGCTGCTGCCAGGCCCGTAATCTGCCATGGGCCCCTGTACCGCCTCCTCATGCTGCTGCCAGGTCCAGAGTGTGTCATGGGTCCCTGTACGGCCTCCCATTGCTGCTGTCTCTATCGCCACACTCTGCCATGTGCCACTTTCAGGTCTCCTCACACTGCTGGTGGTTTCCATTTTTGTCATAGGGTGCTGCATGGCCTCCCATTGCTGCTGCCTCCACCGCCACACTGTGGCTCCACACTCTGGTTTTGGCCCCGTGACTGGCCAAATGAGTGAAGTGTGCGGTGATTCTAAGATCGACGGCACTCATCTGCATGTCATACTGCCTGACAGTATTATTTCTCTTCCCCAGCAGACTCCAAGGGCATTTAAATTAAAGGTACAGTGTTCAGCACTAATATTAAGTCTCTCTGAAGCCTAGAAACACCCTTTTTTAAGTTAAATTCACAGCGAATATATTCGACTCGAATCGAATTTTTTCTACGAATTCGCCGAATCAGTCGAATCGAATTTTTGAATACTTCGCTCATCTCTAATTAGAACGTTTGGTTAATTCTCAAGCAGACACCGCTTCAGACATATCCAAAACATCCGATGCAGAAAGAGAAGCTGAAATTCAGGAAACATGGCTGCAGGGTACAGCTCTTTGGGCTCACCAAAAAATTGGACATCTTGGAGAAAAGGCCACTTACAGGTGGGCACAGGAAAGGGGGATACCATTAACTATGGACATAATTAAATCCATCATCCTTAAGTGTCCAGTATGCCAACATGTACAGAAAAGGGAAGTCCCACACACAGTGATGGGACACATTGGAAGAGGTAAGTTGCCAGGTCAGATATGGCAGATGGATTTCATCGGACCTCTCCCAGCAAGCAGGGGATGTAAGTATATTTGCACAGCGGTAGATACTTACTCAGGTTATCTAGTAGGGTTCCCCTGCAAAGCTGCTACTCAACGGAGTACTTTGAGGACTATAGAAGTGATAACCCAATATTATGCTATTCCTTTGCAAATTCAGACAGACAATGGTTCCCACTTCACAGGACAACAGGTAAAAGATTATGCCATGCAGCATGAATGGGTGTACCACATTCCCTACTAACCTCAAGCAGCTGGGTTGGTGGAGTGAATGAATGGTATACTAAAATCCACTTAAAGAAGTTGCAAGGGTCTGATGCATATGGTCAATTAGCAACTAGATCAAGTATGGCGCTCCGAGGAGCAGTAGTTCTAGGAGGGTTAATAGATGCTGATTACCAGGGAGAAATCAAAGTAGTAATAATCAACCTTAGCACTGAAGCTATGATTTTACCAGCCCAGGACCGAGTGGCTCAGTTACTTTTGATTCCTTTACATATTGCTAACATTAAAGAGGGAGAGGCTCCCACAAAATTAATGGTTGAGGAGACCAAGGCTTTGGCTCTACTAACACAGATAATGTGGGGGCTAAAATTTGGGTACAGGGGGCATTTGGTCCCCCGGAACCTGCAGAAGTAATAGCTGTAGGTAAGGATCGCACCCTACTGATCATGAAACCAGGTAGAGAAAAGTGGGAACACGTCCCACAAGGAAAATGTTACTTGCAAGAATGATTCATACCATATTGTCTTTCACAGAGCAACAATGTACTTACCTTCAGTCTTGGAATCCTTGGTATCGTGTGGTTGGTCGAATTAGAGGTCGGAGCGTGGACACCAGGAGTTAAAATAACAGAAACCGGCAATGCCAGAATGAGCTGTGGTTGGAAAAGCATGCGTACGAATAGAACTCAAGATGATTTTATATGCCCAGCTAATCAGCCCTGCCCCATTCTAAATATAACCTCCAATGGTACTGTATGGACAGGAGCTCCGATAGAGGGTTACAAGCCAACATATGCGGTTCATGGAAATGAAGGTGTGATAAATGTAATCTCTGAAGATAGCATTTGCTTTTGCCAACAGCAAGCAAGCTTCATTTATTTGTCAGCTGCAAATATGAGGTCCGTAACAAGAAACTGTACCACTAAGACTAAAGTAAATACTGCTTTTCTAAATGGATGCCTACTATATTTCATCCAGTTAGTATAGCTGTTGGAGTTGATAACATGATGCTTCATTTAACAAATGCTTCAAATAATTTTTCAAAAGGTTTTGACACTAATGTTGCAAGATTTATTAACTGGACGGTGTGTACATTGCAAACCATGTATGAGCAACAACAAAAAGTTGATATGCAGGTTACGTTGATGACCGGAAATGAATTAGTATGGAG